TGGTGAATTGGGCATGGTGAATTGGGCATGGTGAATTGGGCATGGTGAATTGGGCATGACGAATTGGCCGCAGCAAGTTGTCCCATTCCTCTCTGGAAAGACAATCCTCTGATGCAACACTAATTCCAGGGTTTAAAATTATCTAGTTGCATTGCTGTCTCCTAGGTATGTGTACAGAAAAGGCTGCCTACAAAACAGAAGTAGAAGGCTGTGTCTTCAGTGGGACATAAACGTCTGGTTATAGGAAGTTATAGAGGGTAAGGGAATGGCCTTGAGAGACAGGAGGCAAAGATAATGGTCAAACAAAAGAGGTCTGAGTTCAGGGTAAGAATGTAATGTGAGTAAATGTCTCAGACCTAAGATGAGGTGGTGGGAATGCATTCAATCTTCTAGGATTCTGTTAATGTAGATTAACATTAAAAATATTGCAGACCTAATGACATTTATTTCGTCTGATGTACCTTCAAGGATTGACTGACAGAAGATGGAGAATAATACTCATATTCTACATTCCCCGTCCCCCAGAAAAAGGAGGTAAAGTGAATATGCAAAGCAGAGTATATCAGAACATGAAAAAACATTCAGAGGTCAACCTGAATCATGAGATGGACAGCTGATATTGAGCTGTCTTGCTTTATCCATTTCCCCAAAATAAAACAAATAGAATTCTGCCTAATTAAAGATATGGATAGCATGTAAGAGGTAGGCAAGGAATTTTGCTGCATCTAATACTATGGGGAAGACTCAGTTTATGCCCTCATTCTTGAGGCCAAAGGTTGAGACCAACTTTTTAAAAAATGGTCTGCAACCCAAGGAACCAGAGAGGTATGCTAAGATTGTAGAGAAGAGCTTGAAATTATTGATGGGAAAACAGTTTTCAGCCATCTCCACTAAAGAAGCATGGTAGCTCAAGTGGTTGGAATGATGAGCAGGAGGTTAGCAAGCCCACGTTCGAGACCCGAGAGCTGCCATTGGGTGGGATTGAGCTCTTGTCCTTCACTCCAGCTCCTGCCAGGAACATGAAAGGGGCTCCCAACTGGGCATTCCCAAAGCAAATGAAGTCCCTGGCTAAACTTGTTAACCAGGAAGCACTTCAGTACTTCTGACTCAAGTGCAGAAACCAACCCCACTAACCTACCGTCCAGATATGCTGAGATCAGAAGTGTGAAAATGATAGAAGCCAGTGATGGGATTCAAAGATTTTTACCACTGGTTTGGTGGATGTGGCTTGGTGGGTGCGCTTTGTGTGCGTGCATGCAATTTGCGTGCACATGTGCCAAATGCGTACTTTGCGCAGGCGCAGAGGTGCACTTTGCGCAAGCGCAGAGGCATTTGCATAGGTGCAGAGGCATTCCAACTCATCTCCTGCAATCCTGCACTCTCCCTGTCGCTTCAGCAGCTGCCACGCAGCACTCTGCTTGTGCCACGCAAAGCAGCTGCGCTTCAAAAGCAGGGAATAAAGGTGAGTATGGGAGCCCAGGCGGGCGGGTGGGCCCAACAGCAGAGCGGCGGAGGGAACTGCTTTGGTCACTGTTGCTCATCGGCACTACCGGCTCAGGAGAACCGGGCGGAACCGGTAGAATACCACCACCGATAGAAGCATGCCCATACCATTGTGACGTAAGTTTCATCACTTTCGTATATCACAATGCACGTACAAAGAAGTAGAGCTTACATGATGTTGGCATGATGATCCTTTCATCATCTGCTCCCTCTTGAGCCTCAGTCTACCCAAAGATACTCCTGGTTGGACTGCATTATTTTTAATGGGATGGGATTTTTATTCCAATTCATTGGAGGTGTGAAAAGTTAGGGAATACTCATCTACAACATGGCTGGCTAAGTGGGAAAGAAGAGATGGAGATGTAGCCTCTCTCTGCTTCCTATCCAAACAACACAAACACAAATCTGGGGGTTGCAATCCACTTATAATCTTGCAACCTTCCCTCAATGAGGAGCTGCATCAGCACCCCCACCAACCAAAACAAGAAGTTTTACCATTTTAAATGGTCTTTTTTACATAAGGAATTTGTTTTCTAAGTGAAAGCAATGCCAAGGTTGTTCAATTTCAAGAAGTTCACATCCCACCACATATGTAACGCATTTACTGAGTCAGAGAAAGAAAACATGACATGCCATCCACCTAAAGCAGTGATTCCTAAACTTAACAATTTTAAAAAGTGTGGACATCAGCTCTCAGAATTTCCCAGCTGGCCTTGCTGACTGGGGAATTCTGAGAGATGAAGTCCACACAGCTTAAAGTTGCCAAAGTTGAGAATCACTGACCTAAAAACACCGCTGCACATATCATAAGTCCATGCTGTTTTGTCACTCAAAGCCAGTAGATGTACTATTATTAGTGTTGTTATTTGCAGCAGACAATTGCAGGCATGGGTATTTATGCACCTACCTGAGTTCCAGTAATTATTGCAATTGGACCAGGGTAATACAGCTGAGAAGGAGTTAAAGAGGTAAAATAGGGCCCAAGACAGAATGACAATGTAATAAATATTCAGATAAGATTCAATCACTTGTGAAGCATATCCAATTCCTGAAAGAAGATAAAAGACAGGTAAGCGTTAAATCAGGAAATGGGAATTGGGCAATTGACTTTGATTCAATGAGTATTGGTTAGAGTGCAGATGGAGTCTCCATCACTCTTAATGACAGAACTGTACAGAAGCTGTTTACATAAAATACCAATCCATGGGTAATCAAAGTGTGGCTTGTTCAATTAACACTTTTTTGGTTCACATGTTCACAGTGAACCAACTATTAAAGGGGTGTCAAACTGATCAAATTGTGGGCCGTATCATGACGTATCGCGATGTTTTTTGCCTTTGCAGAGCTGGGTTGGGCGTGGCCTGCCAGGGCATATCTGGCCCGTGGGCCGCCAGTTTGATAGGCCTGAACTATTAGCAATTCTAGCTAGTTTTGCAATAATATGCCAGCTAAAATTGATATCCTTTGGACAACATCCAAGAGACCAGGGGTGGGATTCTACCAGTTCGCACCTATTCGCTAGAACCAGTTGTTAACATTCTAAGCAGTTCGGAGAACCGGTTGTTAGAAGAAATTACTGGCCTAATCCTGTAAGGAAGGCAGGAAGGAAACATTCTGGTGTTGCTTACAGAAACTGCCTCTCCGTTAACCCTTATTACATTCTTGGCAGGACTAGACTTCCTGTCTCAGGAACATCTCTGGAGTTTTTTCCCCCTCCTTTGCTGGTACTTTGCTTGTGTGGAGTGACCATTCAAAGTTACAATGGCAGTGAAAAAAGTGACTTATGACCCTTTTTCACACTTACGACTGTTGCAGCATCCCCACAGTCATGAGAGGCCAGGCGAGGAGATGCGTGCCTCGATGTGTGTGCTATTGAGTTGGCCGCGCCCAGCCAATAACATGGTCAAGCCATGTCCACCAGTCACATGACCACCAAGCCACGCCCACCACCTAAGCCACGACCACAGAACCGGTTGTTAAAAAAATTGAATCCCTTCCCTGCACGAGACAATAGGATTCTTCCAACCTCCCCTCCAAAGTCAGGCATAGGAGTTGAAGGAGGAGGAAGAGGAGGAGAAATCCAATATTGGTTTTGACAGCTTCCTTGCTATACATTTTTGGAAGCAAAACTCAGCACAGAGTTTTATTTTAAAAACGGTACAGTGCCCTTGATCTACATCTCAAATGAAATTGTTAGATTGAGAATTGTTGATGAAATATGTATTTATCATCACATGCAATTTGGCTTTTAGATTGGTCATGCATCATAGCCCAAACATAGCCCTTGTTTGGAATATGCACAATGGAAAGCCTGTGGGATGATTTAACTTCTTTGCTGGTTGTTTCTGGATGCTAACAATATATATGAGGCAAAATGGAAAACTTTGGAGAAAAATAGTAGATTGGATCTATGCAGTGTAAACTATAGCATTAAGTACTGTACTTTAGAGCAGGGGTCCCCAACCACCGGTCCGCGGACTGGTACCGGTCCGCAGAACAACTCCTACCAGGCCGCTGGCTTGCTGGGCGCCGCCATCTTTTTTTCATGAAAAAGTGCTTCCGGTGAGCTTTTCCGGGTAGAAAGCTCACCGGAAGCGCGTTTTCATCAAAAAAAGATGGCGGCGCCAGCCACCATCTTTTTTTGATGAAAACGTGCTTCCGGTGAGGTCAGCGGAAGCACTTTTTCGTCAAAAAAAGATGGCGGCACCCAGCTGATGCCGGTACCGGGCCGCGGCGCCCAGCTGATGCCGGTACCAGGCCGCAGCGTCAAAAAGGTTGGGGATCACTGCTTTAGAGGTTTAACCTGGAAATAAGGAGAAACTTTCTGACAGTGAGAACAATCAACCAATGGAACAGAAGCTGCCCTCGGAAGTTGTGGGAGGGTCATCACCTGAGACTTTCAAGAAGAGATTGGACTCCCATCTGTCAGAAATGGTGTAGCGTCTCCCACTTGGGTGGGGGGTTGGACTAGATGACCTACAAGGTCCCTTCCAACTCTGATTATCTGTTATCTGTTAGGACCTCATGCTTTAGCAAGGGGCTGGACTAGAAGACTTCTAAGGTCCCTTCCAGCTCGATTCTGATGGATGGATGGATGGATGGATGGATGGATGGATGGATGGATGGATTGGACTTTCACACTGTTTCATTGTACGATCAACTTAACCCACCTTAACTTTAGGTCTGCAGTTTAGGGTGCAGGGGTTAGGGACCTTGTATGCTTATTCCTTGCCCCACCCTAATTTATAAGCTGCCTTATTGATTCTTCTTTCGACACCACTCCAAATGTTTAGGCTGGCCCAGCTTGGTTAAAAAATATCTGCAATGTGGCAACAAGGTTTCCATCAGGGCATTTTTCAATGACCATAGTCAGAAGTACCACTTTCAGTTTGGCACTATAAATTTGTGTGTGTGTGTGAGATAACTGTCAGAATTTATGCTTTCATATAAATAAAAGATTTTAAAAACTATCAATATGCATTTGGAAAAAAAAAATCCTTGCTTTTCAGATTTCTTTTCTAAAGTTGTTTGGAGAGCAAAGCATATAAGCCAATGTACAATTTATAAACTTTGTCATATTCTGTTGGCTGACTTCCTTACGGTTGCTCTCATTAGATACATTCTAACGCGGATGACCTCTGTTGTACTTCTGCCAACCCTTCTCATTTTGCTGCATGAGATTAAACCCAATGAGCACCTTCCAGTGGTGGGATTCAAATTTTTTTACTACCTGTTCTGTGGGCATGGCTTGATGGGCATGACAGGAGAAGGATACTGTAAAATCTCCAGTCAGAGGTGGTATTTGCCGGTTCTCCGAACTACTTAAAATTTCTACTACCAGTTCTCCAGAACTGGTTGGAACCTGTTGAATACCACCTCTGGCACCTTCCCATTCCGTTTCCAGCAGCCAATTGGGATTGGCCTTTGAATCATATTCAGCACTGGTTGTAGTCCTTCGTCACATCTGGAAAAACAGCAGAAAGCTTAAGGAATGCTGAATTGGTTGAGTAGCATAAATAGGACAATGGAGAAGGAACAGCTGAAAAGCTCTACTTCAGGGCCGTCAAACTCCTGACCCATGGGCCAGATGCATCATGTGTTGGCCATGCCCACTCCTGGTTTAGCGAAGGGGGGAAAAGTCCCGATACGTCATGTGACATCGCTGTGACAACGCAAGTTTGACACCCCTGCTCTACCTGATCCAGGAAGAGTAAGTTGGTGGACAAAGTGTAGGAGGAGCCCAGTACTCAGTTCTGTGTCCTAGCAGTACAAATGGCTGGCTGTATGATGTGTGGTATACCATCAGTTACTACACATTACTCATCAAAATGAAGGGACATCTCTAACTGTGCAATCCATCTTTCTTCCACTTCTCTGTACACAAGAGTAAAATTAAAATGGCCCTTGATCTCCAAACATCTATTTATAACATGGTTCAAAATGTCCTCCTATATTAGAGATGAAGACAAAGAACTTGCGGCTATGGAATTCTGGGAGTTGAAGTCCACAAGTTTTTAAAGTTGCCATATTTGGAGACCTCTGCTCTAGTGCATTCAATGTTATTCCTATTTTCTTCAGCCCATCTTCCAAGCTGTTTCCTTGTTGGAAACACATCTGCAAAGCCCCATGCAGGAAACTTAGGTTCATGATAAATGACTATAATTGACACTTCCCATCTGCAGATTGAAATTATGTAGGTTGGCTGTTTCTGAACAACCCACCAACACAATTGACTGAGGCTGACTGAGACATTGATTTGAAAACTAACTATATACTTTGGGGTGGTGCAACCCACTATGCTAAAACGTGTTAAGCTAGTCCATGATCTGAACGGAGCCAAGAGTTTTCTCTACTGGCCAGGGGGAAGACACTGATTTGCTGGCTGGCCAGAAAGAAAAGATCTGAGTGCATAATTAACATAAATAAAGTCTAACTCTTGCAACAGAGAATTAACCTCTATTCAAAGTTTTCAATTTCCAGCTGCTTCTTGAAAGAGATTCCTTCATAAATTTACCCAACCCAGTCCATAATTTGCTTTGCTGCTACTTTCATCTAAATCCCATCACTGGACATGTTTAAAACTAACCACTGGCATATCTTTTTGTTTTGATTCCAGACTCCTTTTCCAAGTATATGCCCTTTGTTTTCTCCAGCATCCTGGATGGGTTCCAACTCTACGGCATGCCTTGTCCCAGTCCCCCCCAGTATGGTCATTTCTTTAGCTCTCTCTTTGGTTGCACAATAGTAATTCTACTTCCAACAGAGAATCTCAGAATGACTCACCCTTTTATCTTTAAGGATAGGATGAAACAGGTGCCCTGTCAGCATTTGGCCCTCGGCCATGCCCTGTGGCTAGGAAACTCAGAGGGAATCAGATCAAGGTACACCGAGTTCTTGATGGAAAGTTACCAGGATTTCTGATGTACCACCAACGTACCTTCAAAGATAGGACAGATCTTTCTCCAGGCAGTGATTCCTCCTTGACTGGTATATTGTCCCAAGGCTGTCTCCAAGAGGAAGACTGGAATGCCGCAGATAAAGAGAAAGATGGCATATGGAATTAAGAAGGCCCCTGTTGGTAACAGAAAGGGAGGAAATGTTGGTGGAACAAATGTGATTGTTAAATGTGCTATCAAGAAGAAAAGAGAAAAAAAAAAAGAACCACACCATCTATCTCCAATCTACAACACAGTCCTTTCAACAGTTCCAAGAAGGGTCCACACCTATTTGCACCACTCAGGTGACTCTGATGAGACATATAAACCTCCAAGTGGCCTCAACTACTTGCTAAGAGAATGCAAATGATCAGCTGTCTGCAAAGGAGTATAAACCCTTCCATTCCCCCACCCCATCCAGTCAGAGCTGAAGAAGCTTCTTGGATGAGAAGCAAATGTCTTCAAACAAAAACCAGAAAGTCCAGTTGCCTCTTGTGGGGGAAAAAGCACCTTTGGAATAACCATCTCCATATATTTTTTAAAAAGAGCATTTCACATTAGGGTAATTATGCATATTATCCACTAAAGTTTTGCAGCACTGTGAATTTCTTTCCCAAAAGGTATTTAAGAGCAGGTGGACTACAAATGTCCCAAAGGTGCTTTTGAAAAGGTAAGTTTCAAAAGGCAGTTGCCTTTTGAAAAGCACCTTTGGGACAACCATGACTTGGATGATTGAGAATCTCCATAGACATGTAGCACTTCTTTGCAGCTTTTTGAAGCACCCTGCATTTTTCCCAGAGTTGTGCAACTAGGACATGTTCTGCAAGATTCTTTCCAAATCCCTTTTTGGGAATTGCATCTGAAGCACTGTACACCCTTGTTTATTAATTAAATCTATACACTGCCCATTGTCACTATTTGAGGTAACTCTAGGTGGCAAAACTGTGACACAAATTCTTGTATGAGGCCAAGAGTAAGCAACAACCCAAGGCATTCCAGCTTTTGCTGACTTGCAATATTGTTCTTTCCAAGCAGGTCATACCTCCTAGGAATATTGGTAGTTATCGTTCACCAACTTCTGAAGAATCACTTGCTGTTTATCATTAAATCAGATCCTAATGAAAACCGCTTGAGAAAGAAGACAATGGTGAGAACATAGAAACTGTAAGAAAAGTTAAAGATTGTAATCCAACCAGCTAAGGAAGGCTCTGTTATAGAATCGAGAAGACGTTGAATAGTTATTGTGTATGACTAACATATCTGGCCTTGAAAAAGTCAATGCTTTCTCGATCTCTTTGCTACTGTTCAGTGGCATCTGGAATTTAGCAGTGCAGAAATGGTGGTCCTAATATTAAGAGTTGTATAGATAGAGGAAATTCCAAAGCTGCAAGCATTTTAGCCAAAGTGTGATTCCCTGGGAACCAGGCCAGATGACTCTTAGCAATGTCTTTGTAATACATGGTTTATTTAGTTATAAACCACAAGCTAAACAAAAGTAAAAAAAAATCAGCCTCATTAATATCCTGGCAGATTTTTTGAGATGATCAGAGATTTATTTATTTGTTTGTTTGCTTGTTTATTTGTTTTTTTCTCCCTATACCCACCGATCTGAGCAAGCGACTTTGGGCAGCTCACAATTCAAAAACATGTATTACAATTAAAATCTTAAAAACATTTCAAAAAAATAAAAAGAATAAAAACCTTTCAAATACAAAAAACATTAAAACATCTAATTTGAGTCCAGGTAACCCTCAACTTACGACGACGACTGATCCCAAAATTTCTGTTGTTATGTGAGACATTTGTTCAGTGAACCTTGCTCCATTTTAGGACATTTCTTTGCCACAGTTGTTAAGTGAATCACTGCAGAGGCTATGTCACTAACATGATTGTTAAGTGCATCTGGCTTCCCCATTGACTTTGCTTGTCAGAAGGTCACAAAAGCAAAAGGTATCACATGACCCTGAGACACTGCAGCCATCATAACTATGAGTCACTGGCCAAATGTCCAAATTTTGATCCCCTGACCATGGGGATGCTGTAATGGCTGTAAATGTGTGTTGAGGCCCCGACAGCGGCCAGGGGAGCTCTGACAGTGAGGAGGTTGGGGAAGAACATGGGCCAGTCCTGGAGTCTGGGGAAGGTTCTGGTGAGTGCTCTGCATCGGAGGCAGAGATGGGGCCAGGGCCGCCTGACAGTTATCAGCTGCCTTCAGAGTCAAACACCAGTGAGGCAGAAGAACAGCTGGAGCCTGTTCCCAGTGTGCGCATGTTGCCAGAAGAAGGGAACAGCTGAGGAACAAGGGCCGACTTGGGAGTTGTTGTGGTTAGCCGGCAGCAGGTACAGGACAGCTGAGGAGAGCGAGGACTCAGATGAGGGGCCAGGACCATTAGGGAGTGGACTGTTGCCTTCAGAGATTGTGGGGGCTGGCAACAGTGATGAGGAGGTTTCTGAGGAGCCTCTACCAAGTGCACATGCATGAAGGATTACTCGGAGGAAAGAACAATTACAGCAGCACAGGTGACTCGGGAGTAAGATAATGGCCCCTCCTTCAAGAGGATAAAAGTCAGGTTTGGAAAAGCGTTCTTTGCAGACAGCAAAGAAGTTCTGAGATTCAGCCTCATGGACATCATAGTTAGTATTTGAAAACTCTTGGAAAATAGTTCTTATCTCTGGGTTTTTGGCAGCCTTGACAAACAACTTGGCAAGGCTCTTTCCTGTCGGAGCTAATTAGTTGGAAGCAGCCTTTTATCTGTGAAGAAACAGAATTCGTGGATTAAACCTTAAAAGGTGGGGGCTTCTGCCTTTGTCTTGTGTTTGCTCTTTTGGAACCAGGTTGGGTCAGAACAGGAGTAAAGGCAGAGGTGGACAGTGAATGGCCCCTCCCCTAGAGTATAAAAGAGGAGTAAAAGGGGAGTGGGGCTTGGCGAAACTATCAGTTCATTCCAGCATGCTTGCCAAGTATTGCGGCATCTGAAAGATATCGGCCTAGCCACTCTCCAAGCCTGATAAAGGTCTGTAATTGAGAACTATTGAAAGACTGTTGGCCGGGACTTTGTTGGAGAAGAAATTCATTGTAAATTAAATAAAAGAGGTTTATCGGGATGACGACTTGGCTCCGTGCTGTTGGGGAAGCCTAGGTCGGAACAGTGTGAAAACTGTCATAAATCACTTTTACGGGGCTGTTGTAACTTTGAATGGTTACTGCATGAATTGTTATAAGTCGAGGACTAGGTGTACCATGCGAGGTATGTAGAATGCAAATGAACTCAATGGATCTTTGGACTTGAGAATGCTGAAACAACCCTTTTTGTCTATGCCAAACTTACTTTTTTCATTTGTTATCTTATCAGTACAACCTCTGTGCAAATTGCTTCCCAAGCCCATAAAAGTTGATTGAAAGTAGGATCATATAAGACAAAGAGGGCTCATCAGCAATGGATTTTTAGTAGTGTAGTCATTCATTGATTTAAGAATTCCCCACTCTCTTCCTTAATTGAAATACAAAAGCAGCAACCATTAAAGTGCTGTTTTTTTTTAAAAAAAGAGAGAGATATTTCGCAACTTGATCCTGGGTTTTTGGCCAAGGCAGAGATCTGTGAATCAAAATCAGCAAATTTATTTTCAGGGTGTTTCATGATTCTAATCTTTCCATAGACAATGTGCAAATCCACTCAGATATAAAGAAAAAAAATGGGCCTTCTTTCATACTTTAATTTGGTACTTTTCCCTATTATTAAATCACTCACTTGATATAGGAAATCTGGAAAACACCTGGTTTAAGCTCTGATTGTGTATCAGGGCCTACATGAATATCAGAACTGAATTAGCAAGGAAGGCACTAATAAGAAGCTAAAGTCCAGTTTCTGTTCTGAACATAAGATACTCTTAAGAATTTGTGGACATGGTAAATGAATAAAAGAGTTAGAGGGAATACGCAACACCACAATAGTACTTAATTTATGAATATCTGAGACTCAAAGTTTGGGGGCCTTTAAATGAACAGGAACTTTGAATCCTCAGACTTTTCCAAGAGTATTTGTGGAGCTTGGAGTTTTGGAATGCAAGAATTTTCTCCCTCACACTTTGTGTCTTGCAAGCTATCTGTTCTAATTTGCTCAAAGGAATTGTCTCGGTGGCCAACCCATAAGGTTATAAACTCCATCCATTTTTTGAAAAGAAAAAAGAAAAAAAAAGGAAAAGGAAATATGCTTTGTACTCCACACTGACCCGTGTTTTCTGGACTGTTGCAATAGTCCATCTGTTTGCAATACTCACATTCTGTTTCCTAGAAAAAAAAAGCCTGATTTTATTTTCTATGGTTGTTTGTCTAGTCCTGACAACAATAACTCTGAGTGAGATGCATTCCCAAGATGGACAATTAACTACAAGGCCTCAGCAAGGAGCATTTCTCTCTGGCCTGAATGCTAGTCATGTTAAAAACATTAGATCTCTGACATCCTCAACTATTTTCTCAGCACCAATTTAAATCCGGATAACTGGAACTTGAGACCAAAAATAAAAGGACAGTACCTTATTTTGCAACCACACTGAACCCAATGAGATACATGGAATAATGCATCATCCACTGTATGTTATAAAAATATGGGTCATTCCAAAACATCAGTTTCTAGTACATCAAGTGTGCAATATTAGCCTTTGGTTACCAGAACTTCATCAAGAGCTTCTGCTGACGGATAGCCTGTTCCCAGTTTCTCAAGCACAATATGTTATCACTGGGAAAATGTGATTTCCTGTCCCATTATTTAGTCAACAGTCTACACTGGGATTACAAGTAAAATATAGCCAGTGGTGGGATTCAAAAATTTTTACTACCAGTTCTGTGGGCGTGGCTTGGTGGCCATGGTGTAGCTTGGTGAGTGTGGCTTGGTGGGCATGGCAGCGGAAGGATACTGCAAAATCTCCATTCCCTCCCCACCCCACTAACCTGCTTTCCAGCTCCGTTCTCCTGTGCAGGGCAACAAAAGAAGACCCGGCCAATCAGCTGGGACTCGAGAGGCAGAGAATAGATGGGGGCGGGGCCAGTCAGAGGCAGTATTTGCCAGTTCTCCAAACTACTCAAAATTTCCAATATCGGTTCTCCAGAATTGGTCAGAACCTGCTGAATACCACCTCTGAATGTAGCTATAGAAATGTGAGGAATCCCTATTAAACAAGATATGTTGAGCTGTTAAAAATCCTGATGATTCTACCACTCTCTGTAGATTCTCCATGCATATCAATATTTTAAATTAATTCTTACGGGGTGGTATGCTCATTTATCATATTCATTCACTTTGGTATCTGCAGTGGAACTAAGGGGATCAAAAGATGAAGGAACACAATATTGTAATGCAAGCCCCACCCCTTTTCTTATATGCACTATAATGTGAGATACACATATACAGATAGCCCTTGACTTACAACAATTCATTTAGTGATCATTCAAAGTTACAATGGCATTGAAAAAAGTGACTTATGACTGTTTTCCCACCGTTATGACCTTTCCAGCATCCCCATGATCACCTGATCAAAATTCAGATGCTTGGCAACTGGTTCAGATTTATGACCATTGATGTATCCCAAAGTCACGTGATCCCCTTTTGCGACCTTCTGACAAGTCAATGGGGAATCCGGCTTCTCTTAACAATCGGATTACTAACTTATCATCTGCCTCTTAACAACTGAAGGAAGGAAGGTCATAAAATGGGGCAAAATTCACTTAACAAATGCCTCACTGAACAACAATAATGTTGGGCTCAATTGTAGTCATAAGTCAAGGACTACCTGTATAAAGGGAAGTCCTTGTACTGTGAAAATGTGCCATAACAGCCACAAAGGCTGTTTATGTTTGTTAGACTTACATATCCTATTAGCCAATAACCAAGCGTAGCCTGGGTATTTATTTATCCCAATCCTGTATTAGACAGGAAAATCTTGTAGTCGGGACTCATGCTGTTATACTGTCTCTCGTGCAGTGTCGCAAGTCTTCTATTCCTCTCCTCGGGAGTTTCTTGTCAATGCTGGTGTTTCATTTTTGTAGCGTTTGATTGCACTTGGCCAATCGCCTGACATTTCCTTGGAGGGCTGAGAGGTAGCCCTCTTGTGGAGTACTGTGAAGCCATTACCATGGCAAGTCCACTGTGCTGTACAGTAGAAGCCATTTTAAGGCCCCCCACACACACATACACACACACACACCGAGGGATTTTAGGGGTGTCTTATACCCACAGTATTTGTTTCCAGAGGGTAAATAATCTGTGTACCAAGTTTGGTTGAAATTGCTTGAGACATTCCAGACTTATGCTGGAACACACACACACAAACACACACACACACACACACACAAGTCTGTTTTTATATATATAATAAAGAAAGAAGAAGATTGTTCCTCCAGAAGTTCAAGAACCATACATAGCACTTCCTCCTCCAAATTCTTCCACAAGTTAGATTGGACCAGGAGCAATGGGCTAGGGATAAGTTCACCCTTACTCTTGAAATTTCATGGCTTGCATCTCCCTGTTTCTTTTCATTTCCTTAAATGCTACACTAATGCTGCTCATTATAGACTCTTGCCAAGTATAGTAGACACGTAAAACTCCAGACAACAGCTGCTACTATCTAATAGTCATAAATATAAATAGGAATATTTATGACCATTCGATAGACATGGTCATTTTCCATTCCCATTCCATGTCCGTTCTATTTCTTCCCTAGACCAAGGATTTTGGCACGATTTTAAAGCAGAAAGTCTAACATATGGAAGGCTGTACAGATTTGTGATTTTCCTACTGATAGGGACAAATATGCGGCTCGTAACATTTTGCATTGCCAGCACAAACAATGTGCAAACAATCTGTCACATCAAATATGATGATGAGATGTTATCTGACGATTCACAGGTTGCTCCATCACCCAATGATTTTATTATGAGTTGTTCATTTTACATTGTAAATGTTTATAGCCAGTTTTATGTTTTAATCTCTATATTGCACATGGTGTGCTAATTTGCAACTTCACGTTTGTTTCAAAGCTGTTGCCTAATAAGCAATGGTCACAAGCAATTACATGACACTGACAAATTAGGGATATTGGATACTTACCACCTCCATTCTTGTAGCAGAGATAAGGAAATCGCCAAACGTTTCCCAGACCGATGATCTCTCCAGCCACAGAAAGCACATATTCTACTTTGTTGGTCCACTGGCCTCTTTCTTCTAGCTCATCCTCCCCCTTCCGTGGTTTTGCCTTTGTCTCTGGCACAATCACAGTCCCATTGAGCTCCACATCCCAACTCTTTTTGTTCCCCATGGCCCTGAAAGTTTAGGAAAGATTGAGAGAAAAGAAGATCACAACGTGATACAAGATGGTGGCATCATAAGGTGCTTGTTTAACATCCTGAGCATGTATCCTGGATACCTGAAAGTAACCAAAAAGAAAACCCATGAATTTGTTACTTGAAAATGAACAGAAATGGTACAAAGCACTTCGCTGCATGTCTTAGACTAGCAAATGGTACCTCCAGGGGTGGGCTGCTGGGGGTTCACAGGGGTTCGGGAGAGCCCCTAGCTAAGATTCACCTGGCTGGCCCCATCCCACTCTACCCCCCCCCCCAGGAATCCCCATTCAGCCCGTTTTGGATGCAGGTAAGTGCAAGGTGCGTGCAGAGGCTCGGGGAAGCTGAAAAACGGGCCTCCCGGAAGTTTGGGAAGGCCAGAAATGGGCCTGTTTCCACTTTCCAGAGAGCCTCCAGAGCCCAGGGAAGCTGTTTTCGCCCTCCTGGAGGCTCAAGGAAAGACTTCAGAGCTCGAGGAGGGCAAAACGTCTGCCCCCCCCCCCACTGTGGTGCAGGAGGCCGACTAGGCCACACCCACCTTGGCCACACCCACCCAGCAACCAGGCAGAGAACTCTTTGCTAAAAAAATTTAAGCCCACCCCTGGGTACCTCCCTTTCCTTCAATCAAGATTCTGGTCTCCAGGCCCTTCAGATTATTTCATTGAGACACACACCCAGGTGGATCCTTTAATTCCTTTACTAAAAATCCCCCAAACTCCTCTTTCTGAGCGTAAAAATATAACACTAACAAATTAGACAACTGGCTTTATATATCAGCCAAAAACCACGATTGCTTAAAGCGTCGGATTCCTTCTGCTTAATTGGTCGTGCAATTTTCTTTGGCTCGGTTCTGCGTTGCAATTCAGTTTCCATAATCCCCCAGCCAGCCTGGCTTTCTAGCTAGAGAATCTGAGAGTAGAAATTGTCTTTGTGAAATGACTGTGGGGCTAGGGCAGGTCCAGAACTTACTATGGTGATTAATACCTATTCTGAACTTATTGCATTAGCAACGGGTTTCCATGGTCAGTTGAAAACATTATTTATCACATATAAGCATATAATGTAGCATATGTCAGAAACAGTCTTGACAAATGTTACTTTCCTCATCCAACCCAAACATCCAGAGAAAGTCTCTAGACAATCTCATTCTCATGGGGGATAACCCGGATATCTTTTGCAACATGAGCGCTCGTTCTCTGGAATACAGTCCCTACCAGAGGTATGTTTGGCCCCCTGACCCTCTTTGCATTTCATCATCCTATAAAATTATATACCGAAGGATAACAGGTTCAAGAGAGTTATTTTAACTCTCTCTCTCAACACGCCACCTTTTTCCATTTCTTTCTTTTTAGCTCACTCATTTCCCCTTCCATTCCAATTTCAGCTTTCCAAGACAAATTCTCTTTCCTAATTTGCATCTTCCACTGATCAGTGGAAACCACTTTCAATATGGCTGAAATAGTTTTGATCTACCACCAACTCTTTTGCACATTTACTTTTTCCGTCAACAAATTTGCACTTGCTGTGCAAATCAGCCTTCTTGTTCCTCAGTCATCTCACCCTGCTCCTTTTGTCAAGAACTTTAGAGATCTTTCTTTGAGACATGGCATCTGACCAACCAGCTAGGCTGAAGATTCATTCAGAGCAGATTCCTCCTCCAGCTTATTACTTCAGTGCTCAACAGATTGAAAAACATTGTTTTCTAAAAGAACCTCAGTGGAGCAGCTGTCACTCCAAATTGTTACTACAAATGCAAATCATTCAGCACAATGGAGTTATTTTCCTCCCCACACTGAAATTATTGAGATTAGCATCAGTTCATCGGCATATTAAGGATGAAACAAAGCAAATCTACAGTACATTACTGTAACACTATTACTGTTTTAATTATTATTTATTTTGAGACGATGGTAACATGATCTTTCTCATTAAACGCTCAAGTAGCAGACTCACCCGACCAACTGGAAGTCAATAGATTGCTGTCCCTAACTTTATGATCTCCAGGTTTATCTCCAAATCACCCTAGATTATCCACTTGGGAAGTTTGATGTGCTATAAAGTGACAGAGCTGAAGACTGCCTTCCCTTTACCATGCTGGCATAGATTTCTTGGCCCTATTGCAGAAACTGAAATCCGAGATGCAGAGCCACAAATGCAGAGGGGCAGATTCTACTGGAAGAAATTCCTAACAGTGCTAATAATTTCGCAATTCTGCAGAGAAGTGAAATTTTTCACTTGAAAGAATTTTTTTCACTGGAGGTGCTCAGATAAGAGTCCATTCCGCATCTTCTGGGAATACATTAGTTTGGCTTCTTGTAGTGAGAAGAGCATTTTGACTTATGACTTTTCCCCAACTTTCCATGGTGAAATGCCAGACAAACCGTATTTTGACAAAATGATTAAATTAGTGGGCCAGCGAAATGCCATGGACGTAGTATACTTGGGCTTCAGTAAGGCATTTGATAAAGTAGACGACAACCTACTTCTTAGTAAGATTGGAAGATATGCAATAGGCAGCATCACCACCAGATGGATTGATAACTCATTGATGTAGTCCTCAATGGAACTACATCTACATGGGGGGAAGCATATAGAGGGGTACTCCAAAGTTCTGTCTTAGGCCCAGTACTCTTCAAAATCTTCATAAATGATGTTAAATAGAGGGAATGAAAGGGAAATAATCAAATTGGCAAAAAAAGCAAATGCCGTCCTAGGCTGCATCAACAGAGAGATAGTATCAAGGTCACATTCGTACCTCTTTATACTGTTTTAAGAAGGTCACATTTGGAATACTGCATCTAGTTTTGGTCAATAGATAAAAGATGGTTACACTCTAGAAAGAGTGTAGAGAAGAGCAACAAATATGATTAGTGGGCTGGAGGCTAAAGCATATTACGAACGTTTGCAGGAACCAGGTATGTCTAGTCTAGCGAAGAGAAGGACTGGGGTGACATGATAACAATCTTCCAATAATTGAGGTGCTATCACAGAGAAGAGGGGTCTCCAAAGCACCTGAGGGCAGGACCAGAGGTGGTATTCAGCAGTTCTGGAGAACGGGTAGTGGAAATTTTGAATAGTTCGGAGAACCGGCAAATACCACCTCTGACTGGAGATTTTACATTATCCTCCCCTGCCATGCCCACCAAGCCACGCCCACAGAAGCAGTACTAAAAAAAATAATTGGAATCTCACTACTGGGCAGGACAAGAAGTAATGAATGGAAACCTATCAAAGAGAAATCCAACCTAGAACTAAGGAGAAATTTCCTGACAATGAGAAGAATTAATCACTGGAATTAATCAGTGCTCCATCACTGGAGGTTTTTGAGAAGATATCGGACATCCATTGGTCCAGAATGGTATAGGGTCTCCTGCTTGAGCAGGGGGTTGGACTAGAAGACCTCCAAGGTCCCTTCCAACTCTGTTATTCTGTATTCTAAATGAGGATAATGGAAAAGAGATTTCACAAACATAAGAATGAATACCAAGCAGTCAGGGACTGCAAAGTTCCTGAACAATGTTGCATGGTTTATATTTCCCCAAAACAGGAAAACAGATCATCCACAAGCTCCAGTTCTGCAAAATAAAGGACCTTCTTTCAAATCATTTGGCCCAGAACCAGAAAAAGCTGACTAAGCTCTCAGGAGGAGCCAAAATCCAACATCTAAGTCATGTCCAAAGCTGATTTTTAACTGGTAGAAAGTCTTCATGTGGAAGGGTCTAACAGGAAAAAAAATGTTTGGTAGATCTACATTCAGCTATTTTCCCTAACTGTGAAAGTGTTATAAAGGCAGATTTAAGCCCTATATAACATAGAATAAGACTTGCAGAACCCAAGTCGTATGTCCGTATAATTATAGTGTAGGGCAGAGGTTCTGCAGGTTCTGATCAGTTCTGGAGAACCAGTAGCGGAAATTTTGAGTAGTTTGATTTTGAGTAGTTGAATAGATGGCCCCGTCCCCATCTATTCTCTGCCTCCCAAGTCCCAGTTGATTGGCTGGATCTTTGTTGCCCTGCACAGGAGAACGGAGCTGGAAAGCAGGTTAGTGGGGTGGGGAGAGAATGGAGATTTCACAGAATCCTTCCCCTGCCATGCCCACCAAACCACGGCCTCCAAGCCACGCCCACAGAACCGGTAGTAAAAAAATTTGAATCCTACCACTGGTGTAGGGACATGTATGCATGCGTGTATGTGCATGTGTGACCAGGCATGTATGGTATGAAAGAGAAAAAGGGAGAGATGGGGGCGGATTCAATAGCATCTCTGAAGTCTATATTGCCAACATGACATGCAAGAGAACATCAATAGACAAGATAATATTTTCTTGTTTGTGTATGAAACTCTTCGTCATATCACTTGACTTTAGTCATATCATCTGGTCTAATTAAAACAAATTAAAATCAACATAAATCCACATCTTCCAAAATCCAGACTCATCAATTTGGTGAGAAAATGATAAAGGCTACAACCCCCATGCCTGTCCGGAAATGAACCCATCCCAAGGAGAGAAAAAAATTGAGCAAAGGTAGAAGAAAGTGTCTTGTGGACTGGGAAGCAAGAAAGGATCGTAGGTACCAGGTTTCATAACTGGATATTTCCCCAGTGAGCTGGATCTGGCCCAGAGGTCTTGTGTTTGGCACCCCTGGTCTACAGTGTAGACATAGAGACAAGATGGGGATGGTTGGTGGTGGTGGGGGTCTTTGTTCCTTTTAATTTTGCTTAAAAATAAGCTGGTAGAGATCCTTGAAATTTTGATTTAGCAGCAAGGAAAGTGAGGCCAATGTGCTCAATGATGGGCACAAATGACTACGCAGAATTTCCACAGATGGTCCATTCAAGAAAAACGGAACAGTTGTCATTAGTTAATGATACACGGACAGATAAGAGAATCAACATGATAAGGCATCAATCCTTTTATAGCTTATCACAAATGACACCCAGCCAAGCTAATACCCACTTGGATTTCTCTGGAAGCCAGAGAGGCAATGTTTAGATCAGGACTGCCAGTCCTGGCTCTGGCACAACTCCAGTAGTAAAGTCCAAGTCTGAGGAACATACAGCAGAAAGCCGGAGGATTGTAGCAACTTTGCTTTTCATTTACAAAGTGTCTGTAAGAACTTACATAGATTAAAGTGATTTTCCATTTATTTATTTATAAATTTTTATGCCGTCCATCTCCCCTATAAGGTGACTCTAGGTCATTGGTCACCAACCAGTGGGCCGGGGACCACTGGTGGTCCACAGAGAAATGTCACTCCCAAAGCACCCCTCAAAAGCAATTAATCCAGGCTGCGTGGGAACACAAGGCAGCGCTACTCACATGGCCCATGGAAACACAAGTCTTGTGTCACTTGCATTGCGACCAACACAAGGTAATGAGGGGAGGGGGGAAAGGACGGAGGGGGGAACCTGGCCACCGGGCTGCTTCTTTCCGCTTCTTTCTTCTTCTGCTTTTGGTTGCATGCAAGGAAAGCAGCAAAAGTCTTTCTTTCTCTCCCCCAAACTCTGCCACAACTGAGTCTTTGGGACCCTGTAAGGCATCCTGCTCCAAGAGGCTGTGCCGGTGTGACAAGTCCCATAAAGACTCATTTCTGGCAGTGTTTGGGGGAGACAAAGACAGACTTTCTGCTGCTTCTGCTGCTTTCCTTGCATGAAGTCAAAAGTCTCTCTCTCTCTCTCTCTCTCTCTCTCTCTCTCTCTCTCTCTCTCTCTCTCCCCCTCTCCCTCCCTCCCTCTCTCTCTCCCTGAGAACAGATCTGGAAATAGTATCCTGCGATCCCAAATAAAGAATGATCGATCAGTAGGAAATGGGGTGAGCAATTTTCCTGCAGTCTTTTGGGGGGATTTTCCCAGGGTCTCTGCTGCTTCTGCTTTTTCTGCAGAACTCCAGGATGACCAAAGGCCCGTCTTGTGACTACTGCAGCTCTGGAATTTGGGACCAACTTTCTCACCAACGTCAGCAAGCCACTGTCAATCAAAATTCACATTAGTGGTTCGCGGGATTTAAAATTATTAGTTTGGTGGGAGATCCAAAAGGTTCCACTGGCACAAGTAGGGGAGGCTGTCCCATCAAGGGAGAGATGCAGAGGTACTATTCAGCAGGTTCTGACCAGTTCTGGAGAACCGGTAGCGGAAATTTTGAGTAGTTCGGAAAGCCAGCAAATACCGCCTCTGACTGGCCCTGCCCCCACCTATTCTCTGCCTCCCAATTTCCAGCTGATTGTCTGGGTCTTCTTTTCTTGCCCTGCACAGGAGAGTAGAGCTGGAAAGCAGGTTAGTAGGGTGGGGAGGGAATGGAGATTTTGCAGAAATCTTCCCCTGCCACGCCCACAGAACTGGTAGTAAACATTTTTGAATCCCACCACTGGAGAGAGAGCTGCTCAGATACCCTGGACCCAGGCCATGTAGGGAGAGGGTTATTGTTTAAAGCAGTCACAAAATTATTTAAAGTATCTCTTGCAAATTTACCAGCACATCTTGTCCATAGCCATTCATGCTTTTGTCACCTTCTGTTTGCCTTTGTACAATGCACTCTAGATGGTTTGTCCTTGGACATCCAGATGTTGCAACTGTTCCAAAAGGCAGTTTTGAATGCTCTGGTGTTCATCCAAGGAACACCACTGCTGAATGAGACGCATCAGCTCCCAGTTGCTTTCTGGATGCGGTTCAAAGATCTGGTTACCAACTTTACAGCCCTACCTACATGGCACAGAGCCAGATTATGTGTGGGACTGCTTGTCCTTGAGGGTATCTGTCCATCCTTTTAGTTTAGAATGGATGTGCTCCAGGTCCCCTCCCTTAAATGTTGCTGATGGGATCTCAGAAGCTTGCCTTCTTGGTGGCTGCCCCACTGCCCGGACTTTGGAGCATCTTCCTATATGAAATCCAGGAATCCCTACCTTTTAGCCTTCTGGAGGCTAAAGCATTGGGAAAGGGACTTTTGTTTTTAACCATGTTTTTATGGAGTGTTGTGAGCTATCTACAGTCCTAGGACATAGGCCGGGGGTCTTCAAACTTGACAACTTTAAGACTTGTGGACTTCAACTCCCAGAATTCCTCCACCAGTCATGTTAGCTCAGGAATTCTGGGAGTCGAAGTCCACAAGTCTTAAACTTGCCAAGTTTGAAGACCCTTGACATAGGCAGTCCAGTAAATATATAAATCTGCAGCAATAAAGTATATGGAAGCTTATTAAGCAGACATCTGCATAGAAATGCACGGAGATGAGACACTTATGGAAAAAGATACTTCGCCAGATGAAATCTTCAGTTGAACCATAGTCACAGACCGTTCCATTGAATTACTTCTGAATGGGCATGTATAGGACTACATATTTAAGAACCTAGTGCCATAATTCTCTAATGGGTTGGTTCAGTGTTTCTCAACCCCAGCAACTTTATGTAGACTTCAACTCCCAGAATTCCCTAGCCAGGATGGGGAAGATCTTAAAGTGGCTGAGGTTGAGTAAGACTAGGTTATTCTGACAAGCATATATTCAGCGTTCAAATTATTCCAGAAAAAAACAAATATCCTGCGTAACACACCTTTTTAAAGATAAGTCAAAGGCTGGAATTTGTAATAGTGTGATTAGCCTAAGCGCTGAAAGGTTTATAACATATTTCTCTGTATTCTCACTACCAGTTCCCATTGAATCTAGCAAATAAGCAGATTTCGGTTTCTAAATGACAAATCCTGGTGGATCCAAAGCATATAAGCTAACTTGTTGCAGGATAAAATTGCTCCAGCAGCATACAAAGAGTTCAGTTCCAAGGGTATATTCAGTTATTCTTAGCTTTGGATCATACAGTCCAGAATTTGAGGTGTCAACTTGCATTCCCTTGAAAGCAGAACCAATGGGAAGGGACAATTCCCCAACATTTCCAAGGCTGTTATGTTCCCCCCCATGTACTCCAGCCATATGTTATTCATAAACAGTTGTCTGTATGAACTGAAAACTCATTTGATCCATGCCTTCTCAAAAAAATCTCCTCTGTCCCTAGAGTCTTCCAGATGTTGGTTGTGTTTACTGGGAAATGTGGCAATTATAATCAAATACATCTGGAAGACACTATGTAGATTCAGGATACTTATGCACAGATTTAAAAGTTGGTATTTTGCTAACTTTTGCGATGCATTTCTGCGTCACCTCCCTCTCCCAAGAAAATTACAAAAATGTTTTTCAAAGTATGTTTTGCAGTAAAATTGAGCTACATGTGCTACCATCTCAATAATTTTTAAAAATACTACTTTGGGGTTGGGGAATACACACCTAAATACACACACAAATATATGGAATGATAATTAATCTCTGTTATTTAAAAGAATCCTACATTCAAGAAAAAAAAATCAGAAGTAATCCACTAGACCAGAAGTAATCTATCTTCACTTGTCCTCTCCTAGATCTTAAATGTAAGAAATTCTTCTTGTATCCTTGAAACATGTGCAATAATAACAGTATTTCCCATCACACCAGAACAATACAGCTGTTAAAAGTTGTTGACACTGGTATCAAACATCCGATTCCATCTTTCCATCCTAAATGGGTCCTTTTGGACATGAGGCCAGTCAGAGCCAACTAGAGCTAGCCCAATCATTAGCCAAAAGAAGCAGCTGCCTCAGGAACAGCATTAACAGCTCCCTGGTTATAACTCATTGGTGGCTCAGTCAGTCTTTCTCCTGAGAGACATCATCTACGCTGAGCAGCTTCTCTTAAGTTATGCCGGATGGAAGATCATCTCCCTTGGCCAACGCTAGAAAGTCAAGTGGGCATCCCACAGACTTTGATGCATGGAGTGGAAGCATTCCTTGCTTCCTCCTAGCTCTGTTGAGTTTGGAATATGGTCATCGAGTTTAAAACCTGCTTTATTTGTATTTATTTTTATTTCATTTTGTCGAGCTTGTATTAGTTAACAGATATAAGTGTAAACATGATTATTAATACATGAAATGGATACGAATAAAAAGGAACATTAGGACAGGGATGGTAGTCACGTTGGTGCGCTTATGCACGCCCCTTAAAGACCTCTTAGGAATGAGGTGAGGTCAACAGTAGACAGTCTAAAGTTAAAGTTTTGGGGGTTTGGGGAAGAAACCAAACACATCTGTCAAGTGTGGCAGGGCACAGAGAAAGACAACATGATTTCTCAGTCTAAGACAAACCAGTTCCCAGCCCAGATTTATTTATTTATTTGATTTGTCAATCGCTTACAAGATAATAGGTATAAGTATAAACATAGTTGTGAATGCATGAAATGGATACATATAAGAGAAATAAAAATAAACAATAGGACAGGGACGGTAGACACATTGGTGCACTTATGCACGCCCCTACAGACCTCTTAGGAAAGGGGTGAGGTCAATAGTAGACAGTCTAAGGTTAAAGTTTTTGGGAACTCCAATCCCACTTATCCGTGTGGTCTCTGTTGCTTTATTTGTCCACCTGGACTTTCTTGAGCATTGCTTGCCCACATCCCAGCCTAGCTCTCCTTTCCAGAAGGAGCCAGCTTCTTCCTGCCTCTTTCTCCTGAATCCTTGCCACTGCTGGCAGCTCAGCCTCTCCTACAATGCTGCTCTGTGCAGAGCTGCAAAACACCCATTAGTCTCTTCCCCCCCCACACACACACATCCCAATTCCCATGTCTCCAGGATCTTGTCTTGTCTCTTTGGCTCCTCTCACTTTCTAGGTGGAAAGATACAATCAGAAGGGGAAAAAAAAGTTTCTTGGAAGCTTAGCTACCCTTTAAATCAACTCCTTTTCTTCAGCTGAAGCCGCTAACGAAACAAACCCGAGAGTAAATCCCCCGGGAAGACCTGGCTTTTCCCCACTGAGTAAACTAATGATTGGTGGGGAATTAAAGGTGGCTTTACACTACAGCTCGCGTTCCCTCGCACGCCCAGATGTTTAAGTTCCGTCAGGTTAGCAAACATGGAAAAGGCAAACTGAAAAGTCACTCACCTCTGCTCTTAACTTGTTCCCCTAGAAATCAGCTGTGGACTAGAATGAGAAATTAACAGGGGAGGTTCAGAGCCATGTGCAGAAAAAGCGTTGTTTGAGCAAACAGGGAGTCCGCTCCTCCCTCTCCCCTCCTCCTTTCCCTCCCCTACACTACAAGTGATTTCAAACAAATGATCCCCAGAGAGATCTGGGGTGGGTGGAGGTCTGGAGAAAAGCATGTGTGCGCTTGTTTGGACGTTTTGTTGCAAAGGGAGGGAGGGGCGAGGAAGAGGAGTCACCCACAGCTCCAATCTCATCATATTTCTCCCCTTTATGAAGTTATGCAAGAGGGTGGGTGGAGACGGGACCTGCTAAGAGGCAGGTTGGCTGGCAGACAAAACACAAAAGAATTAACTTCTTTAAGGTATTGGGAACGGGGTGGAAGGAGACGAGGCTGGGGTTCAAGACCACAAATACAGCCCTGTGATAATAAATGTGTCTGTTTGTGTGTGAGTGTGTGTGTCTGCTTGCCCCCCACTTTTTTTTTCTTTTTCTCCTGCATCTGGAACATTGCGTTATGGATTTCATTTGTATTCCCTGCCTTGTTCCCTTCAAGAATTTCAGGCGTGGATATTAGCCCTACAATAGCCCTTTGAAGGAAGCACAGCCCAGGGCTATTGGCAGACGGTCCTCATTGACAGGACAGCTGAAGAGAGTTTCTTGCATTGAACAACCTAGCTGTCTTCTGTTGTTGTTTTCTCTTGCCCGGCCAATGTTCAGAGAATGCTAGGCAAGCAGCACCAGGTGGGTTCTAATATTTAACAGAATAACAGAGTTGGAAGGGACCCTTGGAGGTCTTCTAGGCCAAACCTCTGCTCTTGTGGTTAGCCGGCAGCAGGTGCAGATGGCTGAGGAGAGCGAGGACACAGATGAGGGGCCAGGACCATTAGGGAGTGGACTGCTGCCTTCAGAGATTATGGGGACTGGCAGCAGCGATGAGGAGGTTCCCAAGGAGCCTGTGCCAAGTGCATGTGCATGCAGGATTGCTTGCAGGAAAGAGCAGCTACAACAGTAGGGCCGACTTGGGAGTAAGGCTGCAAGGTAATGGCCCCCCCTTCAAGAAGATAAAAGGCAGCTGTGAAGCGAACGTTCTTTGCAGGAAGCAAAGACGTTTTGAAGCTCAGCCTCGTGGACATTACAGTTGGTATTTGAAGTCTCTTGTGTTGTAAACTATTTCTTATCTGTTGTTTTTTGGCAGCCTTGCAAAAACTTGGCAAGGCTCTTTCTTGTCGGAGCTAATTAGTTGGAAGCAACCTTTTATCTGTGAAGAAACAGGATTCATAGATGAAACATTAAAAGGTTGTGCTGCTGCCTTTGTCTTGTGTTTGCTCTCTTGGAACCAGGTTTGGGTCAGAATACCTGCTCAAGCAGGAAACCTGTACCATTTCAGACAAGCGGTTATCCAATCTCTACTTAAAAACCTCCAGTGATGAAGCATCCACAATTTCTGGAGACAAGTTGTTCCACTGATTAATTGTTCTAACTGTCAGGAAATTTCTTCTTATTTCTAGCTCAGGCCTCTCCTTGTTTAGTTTCCTTCTTGTTCTTTGAAGAATAGGTTGACACCCCCCCGCCTTCTTCATGGCAGCCCCTTAGCAGGGGTGGGCTGCTGGGGGTTCACAGGGGTTCGGGAGAGCCCCTAGCTAAGATTCTGTGCAGTTCAGAGAACCCCCAAATCCCAATCCTGCTGGCCCTACCTGCCCCGCTCCTCCCAGAAGTCCCCATGTGGCCTGTTTTGGACGCACGTGGAGGCTCAGGGAGGGTGAAAAATGGGAAGGCCAGAAATGGGCCCGTTTCCGGCTTCCAGAGAGCCTCCAGAACCCAGGGAGGCAATTTTCACCCTCCCAGAGTCACAAGGAATGCAAAAGCTCACAAAAACGCCCCCCACACACACACACACCATGGTGCAGGAGCCAACTAGGCCACGCCTACCATGGCCATGCCCACCCAGCAACTGGGCAGAGAACCTTTTGCTAAAATTTTTGAAGCCCACCCCTGCTCCTTAGATATTGGAAGACTAGATATTGGAAGACATATCACCCCTAGTCCTTCTTTTCATTAAACTAGACATACCCAATTCCTGCAACCATTGTTCATATGTTTATATAATGCAGAAAGACTAAATCCCACAAGGTCACAGATAAGGAGCCTCTTTACACAATGCTTTGTAACAGGGGTGTCACGTGACTGCTGGGGGTTCTTTTTTTTTCCCCTTTGCTAAATTGGGCATGGATGGCTGGCCCATGGGCCAGGAGTTTGACAGCCCTGCTGTATAATGTAGCCCACCTCAGTACTGTCTTCTCAAAGCCAGTTCTCTCTACAATGGTGGTTATTTTGCCCATGCACAGAAGATCACACAGTTAGCTGGTGTTGGTGGAAGAGACAAGTCCAAGAGGTGTGGAAGATAGTCAATAATGATATCCAGTTTTCATGAGATATACCAGGAAATACCTCAGCTTCCTTGAAGCACGCAAGGAGAAAAGTTGTCCAATAAAGGTCCAAAGTTGTCCAAAAAACTTTCTCCAATAAAGGTCCTTCACCTCTATGTCAAACATATCACTAAAGTGAATAATTTTCTAGCAGATATCTACATATTGTTAACTGAAAACTAAACAGGAAATCTTATATACACTGCTCAAAAAAATGAAGGGAACACTTAAACAACACAATGTAACTCCAAGTCAATCTCACTTCTGTGAAATCAAACTGTCCACTTAGGTAGCAACACTGATTGACAATCAATTTCACATGCTGTTGTGCAAATGGAATAGACAAGAGGTGGAAAGCATAGGCAGTTAGCAAGACATCCCCAATAAAGGAGTGGTTCTGCAGGTGGTGACCACAGACCGCTTCTCAGTTCCTATGCTTTCTGGCTGATGGTTTGGTCACTTTTGAATGCTGGTGGTGCTTTCACTCTAGTGGTAGCATGAGATGGAGTCTACAACCCACACAAGTGGCTCAGGTAGTACAGCTCATCCAGGATGGCACATCAATGCGAGCTGTGGCAAGAAGGTTTGCTGTGTCTGTCAGCGTAGTGTCCAGAGCATGGAGGCGCTACCAGGAGACAGGCCAGTACATCAGGAGATGTGGAGGAGGCCATAGGAGGGCAACAACCCAGCATCAGGACCCCTACCTCCGCCTTTGTGCAAGGAGGGACAGGAGGAGCACTGCCAGAGCCCTGCAAAATGACCTCCAATGGGCCACAAATGTGAATGTGGCTGCTCAAACGGTCAGAAACAGACTCCATGAGGGTGGTATGAGGGCCCAACATCCACAGGTGGGGGTTGTGCTTACAGCCCAACACCGTGCAGGATGTTTGGCATTTGCCAGAGAACACCAAGATTGGCAAATTCGCCACTGGCGCCCTGTGCTCTTCACAGATGAAAGCAGGTTCACAGTGAGCACATGTGACAGACATGACAGGGTCTGGAGACGCCGTGGAGAACGTTCTTCTGCCTGCAACATACTCCAGCATGACCAGTTTGGCAGTGGATCAGTAATGATGTGGGGTGGCACATCTTTAGGGGGCCACACAGCCCTCCATGTGCTCACCAGAGGTAGCCTGACTGCCATTAGGTACAGAGATGAGATCCTCAGACCCCTTGTGAGACCATATGCTGGTGCGGTTGGCCCTGGGTCTCTCCTAATGCAAGACAATGCTAGACTTCATGTGGCTGGAGTGTGTCAGCAGTTCCTGCAAGATGAAGGCATTGATGCTATGGACTGGCCCACTTGTTCCCCAGACCTGAATCCAATTGAGCACATCTGGGACATCATGTCTCACTCCATCCACCAACACCACGTTGCACCACAGACTGTCCAGGAGTTGGGGGATGCTTTAGTCCAGGTGTGGGAGGAGATCCCTCAGGAGACCATCCACCACCTCATCAGGAGCATGCCCAGGCATTATAGGGAGATCATACAGGCACATGGAGGCCACACACACACTACTGAGCCTCATTTTGACTTGTTTTAAGGACATTACATCAAAGTTGGATCAGCCTGTAGTGTTTTTTTCCACTTTAATTTTTAGTGTAACCCCAAATCCAGACTTCCATGGGTTGCTAAATTTGATTTCCATTGATAATTTTTGTGTGATTTTGTTGTCAGCACATTCAACTATGTAATGAACAATGTGTTTAATAAGAATATTTCATTCATTCAGATCTAGGATGTCTTATTTTTGTGTTCCCTTTATTTTTTTGAGCAGTGTATATACTGTAAAGCCTCCAAACTTGAAATTTGGCAAATACGTTCCTCTTGGCTTCTAGGTGCTCACTAAGAAAGGATTTTTCGAAATGACCATCAGAGCTTTAGTATTTCATATATTATTATTAACACGCTCTGATGCTAAGGAGTTCTACTCCCCCTCCCCACCTGAAAAGAAAACTGTTCCAAATGCAAAACACAAGCAGTGGAGAGGAGTTTCAGTTTTAGTTTCACAGCAGCAACCAGCTTGAGAGCAGAACAGTTGAGCTAAGCCATGTCCAGACTCCTTGCTGTCTCCTTGCTCAGACATCAAATACTGTTTCAGTTTCCAAACAGCTATCAACTCTCTCACACACTGACAGGATGCTAGCCAGATGAATACAGATGGATGCTGGTAGGCAGAGGCAGTATTTTTTTCCCCTTATTTTCCTCCCCAAAAACTAAGCCCAACCACATAGTTTCGTAGCAAAGCACGGGTATCGAGCTAGTTGTGAATAAGACAATACCTCAAACTAAGTTTCAGAAATATCTTTACTACCATTTCTTCTTCCTTTAAAAAAAAATTAAGATAGGAAGTAGAGAACTCATCAATCCCAGATATCTAAATTAATACTAATCTGTGATAAGAAGTAGTTAGAGAGAGAGAAGCTTCTTAGTGTAGCTCTCCATTTGTACAATTTTTTTCCCTGGAGACCACCGAGGGTTTTAATTTTCCCAAGTTTTTAAATATAAATCTATTTTGTCCTGCAAGTTTGTGAACTGTGGAAGGATGTCTCATGGGACCCAGACAGGTGTGTGTGTGTGTTGAAAGTTTTTCCCCTTCAAAGCCAGAGAGGAAAGGTTTTTGGATCACCTATCCACTCG